TTGACCATTTATAAGTAAGTGAGGTTTTTTCTTTTTTCCTTATGAATTGGCTAGTTTTATGTCAGCTCAACACAGCTAGAGTCACAGGAGAGGAAGGACCCTCAAGTATGACAATCCCTCCCTACGATGGGGTTGTTAGGCAAGCCTATTGGGCATTTTCAAATTAGTGATTGATGTGGGAGGGCCCAGTCCATTTGAGTGGTGTCACCTCTGAGCTGCTCTCAGGTGCTATAAGAAATCCAACTGACCCTCTTGCAGTCATGTGGCTGGATCTGTTGTGGGGAGGGGTCCTGGCAAGGGCACCAGGACCTATCCCAGATACATGAACTTTTTGGAGGGATACCTTACACAGCCTTGATATGGGGGAGGGGGGTGTTGCTTGGTCCTGCCTCAACTTGTTAAGCCAGACTTTGTTGATTTCCAAGGGAGGTCTTACCCCCTCTCAGAAGTGGATGGGGGGATGGGTGGGAAGAGGAGAGGGAGGAGTAACTGAGGTTGGTATATAAAATGAAAACTAAAATTTAAATAAAGAAAGCAAACTGAGCAAGCCATAGAGAACAAGCTAGTAAGCAGCACCCTCCATGGCCTCTGTCAGGTCCTGCCTCCAAGTCCTTTGCTATCTTTATCTTCCCTCTGTGATATGGAAGTGCTAAATAAACCCTTTCCTCCCCAAGTTGCTATTGGTCATGGTGTTTCTTCACTGTGACAGAAACTGTAACTGAGACACGGCCACTTGACATTTTCTCATTACTCCTCAGTTGAGAGATTTTTTTTTTTTTTTTTTTTTTTTTTTTTCTGTTCACTGCTGTATCCCTAAAGCCAGACATGGAACAGGTATCAGCAAATACTTACGTGACAGAATAAAAAAATGAAACTGTAACTTTCATCATAACCTCCCCAAAAAGTGAAACATGTACACAACACATTTCTTAGTGTGTAATCCTATCTAAATAAATCATTCTGAGAAATAGCTGGCAAATTGAACACTTACCATTGACAGACGCTACAAATGGCCCAGGTAAGATTTTATTTTATTTTTTTCTGGACTGAGGATGTAGCTCGTTGGAAGAATTAGTAGACACAGTCCCCAGCACCAGGGGAGGAGACTTTTTATTTTAAATAGCACATTCCTAAAACATGAAGGCTGCTATGTTCCATTCACAAACTTCCCATATGAGAGTTACATGAACTAGGCCTTCAGAAAATGAGTATGTTATGGACATAAATCCCTTATACATATGATGAGAACCTTCTTAAGAGAGATGTCATAAAGCTTATTTTTCCTTTAACCAAGTGAACACACACTGAGATAGCATTAATCATCAGAAAATCTGAAGTAGACCTCATGTAGATGGTGGCTCTTTGTGCCTTGATCTTGAGCTTCCTAACCTCTAAAAGTGTAGGAAATAAATTTTTGTTGTTCATATACTCCTCAGATTATATTTTGTTTTAGCAAGCCAAGGGGACTAAAATAGACTTATACATGTTTATATTAACACTGTCAATAACATATAATGCAAAAACTCCAGTTAACATAAGAATTTAATATTTATTATGATGTTTATACATACAGCAATGACAAAATGATGCTCAATAAGTTATATACTTTTTTTTAAATACTGTAAAAATGGATGAGTAGGAATGATCCTATGACTTTATTATTGATACTTTAAAATCTACCTTTTAAACACATCTGAACTGATAATTTCTACATGAACAAAAATATTTTCATACAGAAATCGTTTTTCCAAGAATGCAATGGCTGCAATCTAATAGCTTGATTTTATCACAAATATTTGGCTTGAGTTTATTTGATCAGATACCATGCAGAAAAATAAACTGAGTATATAAAGATCATGAAAGTAGGCAGGATGTTATTTTACACTAAAAAAAATTCAATGTAGTGACATTTCACAGCTAAATCTTCAGGAAATTTTATTCAACTATTTCATAAAATCACTAATTAATCACACATGCAAGCTAAAAGTTTTCAGATACAGTAATTTGGCTCTGTTGATGTACTACTCTGAGCTGATAATAACAATCACTTTCTTGACCATTTAAATAAGTGGTCTTCATATAATTTTTTAAAACATTAAACAACATATCTTAAATATAGATGTATATTTATGTCACATTCACATAACTGACACACCATCAACACTTTATCATTTAAACATGGAAAAACCAGGAGGGATTGGGACTAGATGTACCCTGTAAACCAGTTTCTAGCTAAAAACTTCTCTTCTACCTTTCAAATTCACTTGTGCTGAAACATTAAGTAGTTATGTTGACCTGTAAACATCCTTGCTTATTTGCGCTGTTGCCTGAGGTAATCTGGAAACTATTGTTGTTACAGTAGCCTCACAATTTTAAAATTCCTGCAAATGTGCTTTGGAAAACTTCATAATAAAAACAAAATTTAAGTGTAGACTTGAGTGATCTTTCTCTATTACAAAATACTGATAAGAAATTTCTAGATACCAAAATCAAACCATTTCTCTCCATTTTTAGATGGCAAGAAAAACACCCCAAGTTTAGACCATAAATAAAAAATATACTTCAGAATTTCAATTAGCACTATGTTATAGATAAAAGTACTTTATTTGCATGTCATTGCTAGAATAATGTGTAAAATCATACAGATTTTAGGTTTTCCCATTTTACAGGGTGATAAAATACTGTTATATGCTAGGAATGAGTACCTGCCTAGATCTCTCTCTCTCTCTCTCTCTCTCTCTCTCTCTCTCTCTCTCTCTCTCTCTCTCTCTCTCTCTCTCTCTCTCTCTCTCTCGTTTGTCAAGACAGGGTTTCTCTTGTCCTGGAACTTGCTTTGTAGATGAGTCTGGCCTTGAACTCAGAGATCCACCTGCCTCTGCTTCCGAGTGCTGGGATTAAAGGCATGTAACATCACTGTCTGTTGTTTGTTTTTTTAATTTATTCTTTCATCTATTATATCCCCTTCACAGTATATCCATCTCCTCCCTGCAGTATATCCCTTAATAGTATCCTTTCTAGGAGAAAAAACGGTGACTATTTACATTTGTTGGGGGGAGCAGGCAAGTGCTATGACAAAGATGCCAACTTGAACAGATAAATTATTTTTCTAGGATATTCTGTGTCAGTGGATTTTAATGAAACAGAAATCACTGACACACTAAGGTAAGTTCTCTTTAGAGGACTTTAGAGGAGCTCTGCAGATAAAATACACTTTGCCTTCTTTAATATGAAAAATCAATAGAATTATCATTGAAACTTCCTCTACCACTTAAAAATAGAATCTATGCAATGGTATTCTAAAATTTCTGCATTAGACAAATCACAGTTTCACCACACAAAGTGGCAACACTGGTGACTTTATAATGTTATATGTGTCAAAAAGGTTGGATCCTGGGTAAAGGTCTGCACAGGCTACAGCCCCTCTCCCTTGGCATTTGTCCCCCGTATCACCACTGGCACTGACGGTGAGGACACTGAACCAGTCCCTTACATTTCCATTCAATCCATGTGTCAGTGAACCACCTCAGTGATTATTTAAATTTTGGGGTAGTGATATTCCTCATGCTGAGTTTCCACAGTTCATTCATTTGAATTCTAGGAGAAACTATCCTGTGTTACTCCTTAATCATTTAAAGGGAACAGAAGTACCAACCCTGTGCACCACTCATGTAAAAGCCAGACCCACCAAGTGTTGTATTTGTGTTGCTGGAGAAGGGAGCAGGGCCTTGCACAGGCTAGGTGAGTGGTCAGCCACAGAGCTATATCCCCGCTACCCACCTGAACTTCAAAACAGGCTAGGTGAGTGGTCAGCCACAGAGCTATATCCCCGCTACCCACCTGCTTCAAATGATGCCTATAAAGACACCTGTCTAACAGTTATTGAAGTATAGAAGTAGAAAATGTATTATATGCCCTTGTAAATGATAAGAATATGATTTTCTGCCATTATAATTTGGACATGTATAGTTCAAAGGCATCTTTAAACTTTGAAGTATCCTATGTTCCTATATGGATTATCAATATCTATTTATCAGTTCTGTGTGTTAATTATTTTTATTTTAGCTCTAGGCAGTCACTTACAAATTATCTTTAAAAGACTATGAAATGTTTCAATATTTTCAAATACTCTAAGCAGTAACGTAATCAATACATTACTTGTAAACTCACACTACCACACTACCAAAATTACAGTGGCTCCTTTTTTTTTATTTCTTCTTTTTTTTTTTTTTTTTTTTTTTTTTTTCGAGATAGGGTTTCTTTGTATTGCTTTGGAGCCTGTTTGGGAACTTTGCTCTGTAGACCACTTTGGCCTCACAGAGATCCTCCTGCCTCTGCCTCCCAAATGTTGGGATTAAAGGCGCACGACACCAACGCCCGGGCTCAGTGATTTACTTGACCAAATCCCATAAACTATGAAAATGTTACTTTAGGCATTAGTGCAAACTGCTCTAGCAACATTTCCTGTACAGTAATTATACACACACCACTGCAAAGCCCTGAGATGATTTTAAGTGGAGTGGTACAGGATGAACGATTTTTTTTTTCATAGTTACAAACTTACTTCAGTTTTTTACTAGAAAAATAACAAGCCCATAAAAATATGAAGTATGATTCAAAATAGGGCCAAGATTTCAAAAGGCTAAAACAAAGAGTAAGTAAATGGAAACACGAGATATAGTAGATGCACTCAGGAAGGTTGTATTACATTTAGGAAGCATTGTATGAAAGGATGATTCAATTCACCATCGTCTCTGAATGTCTGTAGGGTGAGGTACATCATAAAGGGGACTTCTGTACAACTATCAAACACTTTTTTCTTGAGAAAGCAATCTCCAATGACATGAAAATTAACATGAAACATATTTTTGCTTATTTTGGGAGGGGCATGAAGTGTATTTTTACATTTAAGAATATAGATTTGAAAGCATTCACTAATTAATTTGTTTTGTTTTATTTTTTCAGACAGGGTCTCTCTATGTAGCCCTGGCTATACTGGAGGTCACTCTGTAGACCAGGCTGGCCTTGAATTCACAGAGATTCACCTGCCTCTCCCTCCCGAGTACTGGGATCAAAGGTGTGAGCCACCACCACCTGTGCATTAATTTATTTTTAAAGGATTTACCACATGATGAAAAAATCAGATAATGCTGGAAGGATGCACTATTTCTAAAGACTACAAAGGCACATTACATGTTATGCTTACCACCGCAGCATTAAAATACAGACGAGCTAACTAACAGTTAACAGATAACTACAATATCCTTTCATAAAAAAGAAGATAAGCCTGTGCACTAAGTGCTCTTGACTCTGGAACCACCTGCACGTAAGTGTCGCTGACGTGGACCCAGTGGCCTCCAGAGTCACTGTCAGGTTCTTTCAAACCTAGCACAACAAAAAGGACAATTCTACAGTTAGTGTTTACATCCTCTAAATTGTAAGCAGTGACACATGCACAATAAAATATATTTAGTTCTAACACTGTACTTTATTTTTCTGAGATTAAGTATTATCTAAGATGTAAATAAAAAAAGAATATTTATAGGAATAGAACAATAACAGTCACTAACTATAGGAAAAAAAGTATTATCTAAGATGAACTAATGCTCTTGAAGCACCAATATCACTAATAATTACTTCCAGTTGATGAAATTTTAATTTAAATATCTAGTGAAATATTACTCTTGTAATACTTAATTGCTCAGAGAAAAGATTCACTTCACCAGAGGGAGGAAGGAGGAGGGGCTAGGGAGATGGTGCAGTAAGCAAAAGGCACTGGCTGTACCTACCTGGTTGCCATGCCAGTCTGATCCCCAGAGCCCACACAAAGGTGGAAGGAGAAAACTGAGTACACAGAACTATTCTCTGAGTTCCAAACACATGCACATGTAACACAGTAAACACACAGACACATGAATAATAAATACATTGTAAAAACTAATAAAGGAGCTGCGCATGGTGACTCATACCTTTAGTCCTAGCACAAGGGAAGCAGAGGCAGGTGGATCTCTGTGAGTTCGAGGCCAGTCTGGTCTACAGAGCGAGTTACAGGACAGCCAGAATGGTTACACAGAGAAGCCATGTCCCAATGCCCCCCAAAGAAAAACCCCCCAAAATCACTAAAAGGGTACTACATTGTGATTATTAACATTCTTAAGTATTATTTAAGCGAATTTAAGATTAATAAGATAAATCCATTTGGAGAACCTGTAAAATAATAACTCCTTTAGAAAATGAAACTGAGAATAAATGCTTTCACTTTTAGAATGGCTTACCTGGTACAGGTTTCCTGCCAGTAATATATTCAGATAATTTCCGGGAGGGCACTCTCACTTTCACATAGGCAGTGTAATGGCCTCCTCTCATTGAGCCGCTGTGTTCCACTATTCCATAGAGACCATAGAGAACTTTCTCTCCTACACTGATATTCTTTCAAACGAAGATAATTAGAAAAATTCAGTGAAACTGCATGAAAAAGTAAACTCGTAAGAGAAATGTAGTCTTAAAACCATACTGAGATACTCTGTGCTTCTCAATGAACAGAAAGCCCACTATGGAGCAGCATTAGCAAAACAAAGAGAGGGAGACTATCAAACCCAAATATATCCAATCTTCTATAATTATAACAGTCTGCATATAGAAAACAATAATGGCAAAGAGATAATCATCAAAATCCAAATCATGGCAAAACACAAGAAAAATTCCAAAAAGAAGAAATTAAGCATTAAAATAGTATTAAAGGAATTGAGGCCAGCTTGGTCTACATGGTGAGACTCTGTCTTAAAACACATACACACACACACACACACACACACACACACACAAGTCTGGAAGCTGGGAGAGAGCACACCATTGGCAGATCAGGCCTCCTGGAATCCAGGAGGGAAGGAAGGAGAAAAAGAGAGACAGAGACAGAGAGACAGAGATTGCATCAGCAGCTAAGCAGGTGGCCCAGGAAAGGGATCAAGTCTCTGAATTTGTTAAATGTAAATGGACTAGACATTGGTAATGTAGTTATTTATTGTATATATTGTATATACTTATTGTATATAGTTTTTCTTATGTTAGTTGTAGCCTTGTGGTTATATATTATTTATGATTTATTAAAGCTTGCCAGAAAATTCAAAAAGCAAAGCTAGCCTCAAGGTATAGAGATCAGGCAGTGGTGGTGCACAAGTTTAATCCTAGTAGTCAGAAGCTAGGAGGTGGTGGTACACACCTTTAATCCTCCGACTCAGGATTAAGAGGTAGACAGATCTGTTAGTTCAAGGCCACACTGACAACATGAAATTGATCCAGTCCTAAAAGAAACAGCTCACACAAAGATGATCTCAACACCTGGGATCACAGGCCTTTAATCCCAGCACTAGGAAGGTAGAGACAGGAGGATATGACTGGGTGGAGAAAGGAATATAAGGAGGGGGAGACAGAACTGTATTTCACCTGGGTAGAGGGAAGATCTACTGGCTTGGCTGCTTTTCTTCTCTGATCTTTACCTTTAAGTTTGAATCCCAATATCTGTCTCTGAAGCTTTTATTTATCTTGCTACATCATTAGATGCAGAAAGAGCCTTTGACAAAATCCAACACCCCTTCATAATAAAGAACTTGGAGAGAGCAGGGATACAAGGAACATACCTAAATATAATAAAGGCAATATACAGCAAGCCAACATCAAACTAAACAGAAACTCAAAGCAATTCCACTGAAATCAGGAACAAGACAAGGTTGTCCACTCTTTCCATATCTCTTCATTTTAGCACTTGAAGTTCTAACTATAGCAATATGACAACAAACGGAGTTCAAGGGGATACAAATTGGAAAAGAAGAAGTCAAACCTTCACTATGTGCTGAACAATATAACATAAGTGACCCCAAAAATTCTTGAGCAGTTGATAAACACCTTCAGCAATGTATCAGGATACAAGATTAACTCAAAAAAAAAAAAACAAACAAACAAAAAAAAAAAAAAACAAAACAGTAGTCCTCCTATAAAGAGATGAAAAACGGAATGAGAAAGAAATCAAAGAAACACCACCCTTTGCAACAGCCACAAATAACATAAAATACATTGGGGGTAACTCTAACCAAACAAGTGAAAGACCTGTACAACAAGAACTTTAAGTCTTTAAAGAACGAAATTAAAGAAGACATGAGAAAATAGAAAGACCTCCCTTGCTCTTGGATAGGTAGGGTAAGCATAGTAAAAATGGCAATCTTGCCAAAAGCAATCTACAGATTCAATGCAATCCCCATCAAAAACCCAACACAATTCTTCACAGACCTTGAAATAACAATAATCAACTTCATATGGAAAAAGAAAAAACCCAGGACAGCTAAAACAACCGTATACAATAAAGGAACTTCTGGAGGCATCACCCTCTCTGACTTCAAAAAGCTATGGTAATGAAAACAGCTTGGTATTGGCATGAAGACAGACAGGTGGACCAATAAAATCAAATTGAAGACCTTGATATCAATTCACACACCTATGAACACCTGATTTTTGACAAACAAGCTAAATTACAAAATGGAAAAATAGAAAGCATCTTCAACATACTGTGCTGGTATAAACTGGATGTGGACATGTAGAAGACTGCAGATAGAAACATGTCTATTCCCATGCACACAACTCAAGTCCAAATGGAACAAAGACCTCAACATAAAATCAACCACAAGAAACCTAATAGAAGAAGAGACAGTGGGGAGTTGCCTGGAACGAATTGACACAGAAAACAATTTCCTAAATATAACACCAGTAGCACAGACACTGAGATCGAAAATTAATAAATGGGACCTCTTGAAACTGAGAAGCTTCTATAAAACAAAGGACACCATCAACAAGACAAAACCATAGCCTACAGAATGGGAAAAGATATTCACCAACCCCACATCTGACAGAGGGCTGATCTCCAAAATATACAAAGAACTCAAGAAACTAGACATCAAACTACCAAATAATCCAATTAAAAAATGGAGTACAGATGTAAACAGAGAATTCTCAACAGAGGATTCTCAAATGGCTGAAAGACACTTAAGGAAATGCTCAACATCCTTAATCATCAGGGAAATGAAAATAAAAACAACTCTGAGATTCCCATCTTACACTTGTCAGAATGGCCAAGATCCAAAAACTCTGATGACAGCTTATGCTGAAAAGGATGTGGAACAATGGGAACACTCCTCCATTGCAGATGGGAGTAAAAACTTGTACAGCTGCTTTGAAAATCAGCATGGCTGTTTGTCATAAAATTGGGAATCAACCTATCTCAAGACCCACCAATGCTACTTTGAGGCATATAACCAAAGGATGCACACTCATACCACAAGGACATTTGTTCAATTATGTTCATACTCGTAACACCCAGAACAACCTAGATGCCCCTCAACCAAAGAATGGATAAGGAAAATGTGGTACATTTATACAATGGAATACTACTCAAGAGGTTTAAAAAAAACAAAACAAAAACAAAAAACCCCGCAAAACAAAACAAAGATATCTTGAAATTTGCAGGCAAATGGATGGAACCAGAAAAAGTTATCCTGGGTGAGGTAACTCAGATACAGAAAGACAAATATGTACTCATTCATAAGCGGATATTAGATGTAAAGCAAAGGACAACCAGCCTATAGGCTACAACCCCAGAGGACCTAGGTAACAAAGAGGACCATAGGAAAGACATACATAGCTGCCTAGGAAGGGGAAAAGAAAGATCTCCTGAGTGAACTGGGAGCTTGAGGGGCAGGCAGGAGGGCGGAAGGGGAGGGGTGGGGAAAATGTATAGCTCAATAAAAAATGAAGAGAAACCTCAAAATAAAAGATAGTATTAAAGGCATCATTGATTTATTTGTAAATTAATTTATTTTAACTATTGTATTATTTTAAAATGAATTAGTATAGACAATTCATTTTAAAAATCACATGAGACAACAGGAATATAATATAAAGACTGATGTATGAAGGACATATTGAATGACACTAAGGTTGTGTTAAAATGGAAGGGACATACAGCTCAGTACATATGAGATGTCTTGGGTTCAATTGCCATGCCCATCCACAAAAAAAAAAAAAAAAAAAAAAAAAAAAAAAAGCAATCTAGAGAATAGTGGTTAGGAAAGTATAATCCTGTAATCCCAGCACTTGGAAGGCTGAGGAAGAGGGCTTGTGAGTTCAGGACCTGCCTGGGTAAGATCGTATCTCAGGAGATAAGCACAGCAAGACAGAAAAAGAGCACAGAGTAATCATTATATTTTAGACGTGCATCCTGAAATGATAGCTGATGTGTTCATCAAAGCAGTAAGAGAGGACAGAGACAAGCATGTGGATGAGGAGAAGGGACGAGACTGGCATAGACCTGACATTTTAGGAATGGATGATGGAGGGTTATTGTACTGTCTGTCTACTTTTAAGAGGGGTAGAAATTCTTTATAGAGTAGGTGCTTTAAAAAATACAGTGTTCTCAAAAAACAAACACTGAGCTTAGAAAACTTCATTCTTATTTGCAGTATCATCTATTACTTCTAGGAGTACTGTGTGTTTGTCCTGAATGTTAGTAACTAACAGAGCTGGTATTCCACATGAAGTAAGTTAGACTCACCAGAAAGCTGCCTCTACTTAGTCAATGAGCTCAGTAACTATCTTATGACATACCACGAAACCTGGACTTCTGGCCAGGTGTTATGAACATTCTATTATCCTAAAACTATTTTCCTCAAAAAAAAAAAAAAGTTGATCAATTTTTACTTGTGCAAGTCTTACATGTAAGAACATTCAAGCAATTGTAAACCCGGTTGGTTAGTAAGGCATTAATAACTTGAACATATTCAACTGACAAATACCGCATATCAATAATATACATGAAATGGCATATAAAACAACATACTAGTATGTCTTTAATCCCAGCATTTGGCACTCAGGAGGCAGAGGCAGGTGAATCTCTGTTTATAGCCTGGTTTATAGAGTGAGTTCTAGGACAGGCTCCAAAGCTATACAGAGAAACCCTGTCTCAACAAAACAAAAGACACACACTAATGTGTTTATCTGTAAAAGGCACAGACCTTCACAAATGCTAAAACTCTAGCTCATTATTTGGCTCACTCAGAGGAGCAGGAGGGCACAGAGACATCATATCATCTGCTAATAAAAAAACAGGTAGCTCGGATGTTTGTGATCCATGCTCCATGTCTTACTCATCTTTGTTCCAAAGAATAAAGTCATATTTGATGTATTAATATGTCCCATTTGCTTATTCAAGGAGAGCTTATTTAAACAAAAAAGCATTTTCTAATAAAGAATAAGCAGTATGAGTTTAAGTATCTCACTTGCAAGTTAACTAATTGTCTTCATATGTCATACCTTACAGGCAGCAGCACAGAATGGTGCTAAGTCGAGGGTAAGTGGGAAGTCTACGTGTCTGTTCACTTTACGAAGACTCAAGCCAGCCTTAAAAAGACAAAATATTTTTTTTTTTAGTAAAACAAACTTAAGTTTAAAGTACTATGTTAATTAAAACTAAAAGAATTCTAGAAGTTACTATTCCCATAGATTAATAATAGTCATACTTCTGGGCAGTGGTGACACACACACCATTAATCACAGCACTCAGGGGGCAGAAGTGTAGGGGCATCTTTCTTGCCTCGACAGTGAACTTGTGGTGGTGGCCACATCCTTTGGGCATGATTTCAGGTTCAGACGTGACCCACTCTAAGCTAGAGGAGGGGTTGGCTCTTGTTCTCTTGGGTTGCAGAGAGCATTGGAAGAGCAGAGAATCTTCTGGAGCAGGAAGACTGCAGTGGTTATTTACTATTATCTGTGTAAGTGCTTCCCTAATAAACACTTATCATCTATCTTGGGTCTGGTGGACTCATTTAAATCCTGCCCTTAATTGGCGCCCCGGTGGGATGATTCCTGAGATCAGCCAGGGTCGCAAGCAGGCTGTGGCATTCCACCGCCAACTTCACCAGCTTCCCTGCATTCACTGGGTCAGAGGTGCCAGCCCCTCCTCTACTTTATAACAGGTCACACCTGAACCTGAGACCTCTCCCAAAGCTATACCACAAGTTCACTGGCAAGGCAAGAAAGGTGCCACTACAGAGGCAGACAGATCTTTGTGAGTTCGAGACTAGCTTGGTCTTGTTACAATGTAAGTTCCAGGACAGTCTCCAAAGCTACACTGAGAAACCCTGTCTTGGGGAATAGAAAGTAAGAAGGGAGGGAGGGAGAGAGGGACGGAGGGAAAGGAGGGAGGGAAGGGGGGAAGGGAGAGAGGGAGGGGGGGGAAAGGAAGGTTATTTGTTCACATGGGATTTTTAATCGTGAATTAGGTAAACAATTACTTCCTTTGTGGTGTTTACAACAATTAATGGAAAATAAGTTTAGTGTGCTAAAAGCTAATTCTCTGACACATTGTTATGGAAATATAGTCAACAAAGAGTCAGATACCTAATTCAGTGACTGGTTAAAGATGAACTTGACTGTAGGCAACCTCATCTAGGTCAAGTCAGAAAATGAGGACAAACGGATCTTACTGGGTACTTCCATTTCTAAAATACAATGATACTCAATTATATATATACTTGCTATGATTTTCAATAGAAGTAATCATTACAACATCACACAAATCAAATAAACTTCCACTGTCCTCAGAAAACTTTACCACTTCTTCTGTTTTCACTTCCCAAAGCTAACCCTCCAAGATGCCCTCAACTGAAGAAGGAAAAAAGAAAATGTGGTTCAATTACACAGTGTGTGTGTCGGAGGAACGGACTAATGACATCTTGAAATTCACAGGCAAAACCCGGCATTGGTGGCGCATGCCTTTGATCCCAGCACTCAGGAGGCAGAAGCAGGCAGATCTCTGTGAGTTCAAGGCTAGCCTGGTATACAGAGCTAGTTCCAGGACAGGCTCCAAAGCAATGCAGAGAAACTCTGTCTCAAAAAACAAAACAAACGAAAACAAAAAAGAAAAGAAAGAAAGAAATTCACAGGCAAATGGACGGAACTAGAAGAAACCATCCTGAGTGAGGTAACCCAGTCACAGAAAGACAGAAAGACAAACATGGTATGTACTCACTCATATATGGATATTAGACATAGAGCACAGGATAGTCAGAATACAATCCACACCTCCGGAGAAGCTAGGTAAAAAGGGGGACCTTAAGGGGGGCACACATAGAGGGCCCCAGGAAGGAAAAATAATTAAGATCTCCTGGGTAAACTGGAAGGGTGGTAGAAGGGAGGGAATGGGGATGGGAATGAGGGATCAAGAAGACCTAGTTGGGGGAGGGATGGAGAGGGAGAGCAATGAAAGAGATGCCTTGATAGAGGGAGCCATTATGGGGTCAGGGAAAAACCTGGTACTAGAGAAATTCTCGGGAATCCACAAGGATGACCCCAGCAACAGTGGAGAGGGTACCTGAACAGGCTTTCCCCATTAATCAGATAAGTGAGTATCCTAATTGTCATCATAGAACCTACATCCAGTAACTGATGGAAGCAGATGCGGTGATCCACAGCCACTCCTGGAGTACAGCTGAAGAGAGGGAGGAGGGATCTTATGAACATGGGAGGGGGCATCAAGATCATGATGGGAAAACACAGAGACAGCTGACCTGAGCTAGTGGGAGCTCAGACTATGGACTCACAGCTGGGGAACCTGCATGGGACCAAACTAGGTCTTCTGAATGTGGATGATAATTATGTGGCTTGATCTTTTGGGGTGGGGGCTAGCAGTGGGACCAGAACCTATCCCTGGCACATGAAATGGCTTTTTGGAGCCCATTCCCTACGGTGGGATACCTTGCTCAGCCTGGATACAGGAGAGGGGGGCTTGGTCCTGCCAGACTCCGGAAGGAAGGCCTTAGCTCCTCTGAGGAGTGGATGGGAAATGAGAAAGGGGAGGTGGGGCTGGGAGAAGGGAGGGAGGGGCATGTAGTGAGATAGTCCTTCTGTGGCACTGACCACGCCCATTGGGGGTGGAGCCATGGGCGGAAGTGACCTGTGGAAGGAGGTCGGAGGGGGCCAGGAAAGGCGCTCTCTTGCTGGCGTGACTCGGACAGGAGAGCATCGGGTTGAATTTCCTGGTGTTCATCTGTCTAGGCTGTAAGTTATTTCTCCCTGAATAAACATCTATTCGGCCTATTTGTTTATCCTGATCCTTATTTCACCGCGATAGGGGCAACTGGGGTTGGAATGTAAAATGAAAAAATTTTAAAATAAAACATTTATAGTTTAAAACATCATTACAAGCAAAGGAATGAGAAGATACTTAAAGCTAAATGTGTGCCACCTTTCATGCAGGAGGCTCCTGACATCTGTGGTCTCCTGCCTCACTGTGTACCAAGCAAGCAATTCCACTATGTATCTGTCACATTTTATTTCTGAGTTCTCTTTAAAGAAAACAAAATTAGTAAAAAAAATATACCAACTAACTAACTAATGTTGCCCAGGTGATCTCTGTGTGTGTGTGTGTGTGTGTGTGTGTGTGTGTGTGTGTGTGTATGTGCTCCTTCATGTGGGTGTACTTGTTCATGTGTACAGGCATGTGTACATGTACTGGGGATTCATGTGCAGGCCAGAGGATAACTTCTGAGGTGCCATCACTTTGATTTTTAGTTTTTGAGACAGGGTTTTTCTTTTTCTTTCTTTTTTCTTTTTTGACTTTTCCAGATGGGGTTTCTCTGTGTAGGTAACTCTGTCTGTCCTGAAACTTACTCTGTAGGCCAGGATGGCTTCTAACTCACAGAGATCCACCTGCTTCTGCCTCCCAGGTGCTGGGATTAAAGGTGTGTGCCACTACTGCTCTGCAAGACAGGGCTTCCCTGTGTAGCCCTGGCTGTCCTGAAACTCACTCTGTAGACCAGGCTGGCTTTGAACTCAGAGATCTGCCTGCAGCTTCCTCCCAGTGCTGGCCATCACCCCGCTTTTTGAGCCAGGGTCTCTTACTGGCCTAGAACTTACCAATTAGGCTACACTGACTCAACATGCCTCTGCCTTCCTGAAGGTGACATTTCAAGCATATACCAGCATGCCAAGTTTTTGTTTTTGTTTTTTAAACATGGATTCTAGGGACCAAAAGCAGGTGCTGATGCAGGCCTGTATTGACTGAGCCATTTCCACAGTCCCCAGATGATCACAATAAAAGGATTCACAGGATAGCTAATATGAAGTTGTGAGATCATATCCAGGAATTTCAATCTTTGCCTCCTTTTTCTTCATCAGGTGTCCTCTATAAGCAGCCAGTACCAGCCTACACTAGTGTGCTCTCCCAGTAGCTGAGAAACTACTCCCCAATAGAAAGGCTTCCACGGAGGCCTTTTCTAGGGGATGCCTCCTAGAAAATATCTAGCAGTATGTATGTAGTCTCTTACCCTTTATTTTTCTTTTAACATTAAAATATAAATAGACAATAGGTGCTTAGCTAAATCTTCCATTTGGCTTGATCTGAGTAAGGAATGGCTATGCTAGGTCTCTCTTTATCTGCTTCAGTTCAGCAAGTTCTTAGGAGTGAGGTTAATTAGGGAAGTACTTCTGCTAAAAAATGCTTCATTTCAAATGTCACCTGATAGCCATTACTGACTGACTGGACATGCTACCAGCAGAGTGCCACTGCTGTCTTAAGTGCCTATCTAGAGTTTCTTTAGCCTCAAACAATTCTGTATTTTGCTAAAGATTATAATTAAGATAAAGATTAAGATTGCACAGTTATGAAAAAAATCTCATTTTTCTACTTACTTTGCTGGAAAGGATGGGTCTATTTTGTACTTTACTAGAGTTCATATTCCCAATTCTAGAGCACTACAATTATCTATTGCATTTTTCTTAGCAGACTTTAAGAGCTGCCTGTGTGGTTATAAAATCAAATTATTTGGTATGTCTATGACAAAGATCCTTATGGAGTTGAGATTTGCTTTTAACTGTTGTAAGTGGTTCTGATATATAGCTCTAAAGTTACTACACAAAAGCAAGATTTCAGAGATACTATGGAATAAAGTGTTAGGTATTACTTAGGAACTCATCCCATCCAACCCTTGGAATGAGGCTGTAGCTTTGCTGAGATTACATTTAGCTTCAGAACAAAAAGAGACTGAAGTATTCATAAATATTTCCCTTGAAGTATGTAAGTTTCTTTTCTTTTTTAAAGTTGTTCCTAAAGAGGATGCAATTACTAAACACATCTGCATCCGGCATTCCCTTCCTTATTCACAGTCTATGGAGATAAACTTACATGAGGCATTAGAACGAAATGCCTGTTTCTTTAACTTTGGATATGGAGAATCATGAGCTTTTTTTGTTTGGTTCTTTTGTTGTTGTTGAGTAGCTCTGGCTGACTCTGAACTGTCAAAGATTTCAAAGATTTCCCCCTGCCCCAACCAAGTGCTAAGATTAAAGGTGTGACCTTTAATCACTAATAATATCTTAACTTTTCCCCTTTCCCGCCTCCCCTTCTTCTCCCCCCCTCTCCTTCCTTTACCAACTGAAAGATTTCCCTAGTCTTCGTTAATTTTATTTTAACATACAAAACAAACAACAAAACCCTAACTTAAAAGAAGTTAGTACTGGACAGTGGTGGCTCACGTCTTTGTTCCTAGTACTCGGGAGGCAGAGGCAGGTGAATCTCTGTGAGTTTGAGCCAGCCTGGTCTACAGAGCGAGTTCCAGGACAGCCTGTCTCAAAGAATCAAAACAGCAGCAACAACAAAGGAAGTTATAGTACTTAGTAGTCTATATTTCTTTGTTCACAGAAATTGAAAGTCATTTAAAAAAAAAAGGGGGGGGGGGGATGGCTGACAACACAGCCTATAATCCAGCTGCCTGGGAGCCAGAGCAAAATGTTCACAATTTCAAGGTCTTCCAGGCTACCCAGAAAATTCCAGACTAGCTTGAGCAACATCTAGGTTGCCACCCCCTAGTCTTGTAGAGCCTCCCTCAAAGCTTACCGGTGCTGGGTCCCTAGTCAACACTGCTCAGGCAAACATCATCTCAGTCCCGTCAAGACAGTTCAAAAGCTGCGTGGGCTTTGCCCTTTTGCTCTTTGTAATTCCTCTTAAAAACTTTAGTCTGCATTCAAGCACACTTGTGACCAGACACCTCTCAGAGCCATCACTTGGCTCTGCCACTTACATCTTTCAATATCGTTATACAATTGTCCTCCCAGTGCAGGCCATCTCATGTGACAGTATTCTTAATTCAAGGAAAGCATAACAATTTCCCATAGGACCTAGGGCTCTGCAAACGTACCAGGAAGCTGGACTCTTACCTGGTGGAATCTTTTAAGATGAAGAATTAGGATAGCTGGGACAGCAGATATAAGTAGTTGCTTCCTGGCATTCGTATAAACTCCTCCTGCTTTCTTTTCTGCATAAAATACAATAAATTTACTTACAAAATTCCATCGACTATATTACTTAGAATGTGATAGACATATGGTATTACATGTTTTGTATGTATGGTTTTTGTTGTTTTGTTTTGTTTTGTTAGTTTTGGATAAGTGTTTCTTTGTGTTGCCCTGGCTGCCCTAGAACTTAATCTGTAGACCAGGCTGGCTTCAAACTCAGAACTCTACCCAACTCTGCCCCCAAGTGCTGGGTGTTGTAATTTAAGAAAAGCAGTGTGTGAGAGAGAGATGCCACATGACAGAGTTCAAGCAGAGGGTTTGTTTTTGTTTTTGTTTTTTAGGGAAAGAGATCATAAAAAGAGGATAGGGGAGGGGGGAACCAGCCTCTGGAGACGGGAGCAGCAGGAGAGATGAGGAAGGAAAGATGGGAAGAAGGGAAGAGATAGAGGGAAAGGAAGGAAGAAAGGAAGGAAGGAAGAAAAAGAAAGGGAACACAGTGAATGTGCACAGGTGGTGCTCTTAGTGGCTGCAGCAGAGGACGTATCCTGTCAGAGCCCCAAGGACAGGCCAGTACAGATGCTGGATACTAACACTGGGACTAAGGGTATGAACCACAGCATGTAGCTACACCATGTTTAAACATATTAAGAAGCTATATTTACATATGTTCCCACGTGGGTGATTGTGTGTTGGGGTTTACACATCGTGCATACACATTGTGCACATGCACATGGAGGCCAGAAGGTAACAGTGGATGGAAATCAGTTCTCCACCTTATTTAACTTTCTTTTCTTTCTCTCTCTCTCTTTCTTTCATATATATATATATTTTCTTCAAGACAGAGTTTCTCTGTGTAGGCCTAGTTATTCTGGAATCCATTCTGTAAACCAGGCTAACCTCAAAATCCCATGTTGGGATTAAAGGCATGTGCTACCACCACCATTAACCAAGCTAACCTCAAAATTCCATGTTGGGATTAAAGGCGTGTGCTACCACCACCACCATGATGTTTTTACAGACAGGGTCTCTGCATGCAGCCTCAGCTGTACTAGAGCTCACGAAGTAATGCCAGAGATACACCTCTTCTCCTGCCAGTAATGCCAGAGATACACCTCTTCTCCTGCCAGTAATGCCAGAGATACACCTCTTCTCCTTCCAGTAATGCCAGAGATACACCTCTTCTCCTTCCAAGTGCTAGGGTTTCGGGCATGCCGCTGCACTGGCCTTTTACACGGGTGCAGGGGATTCAGGCTCAGGTCTTCATGCTTGTTTCAGCAAACCCTCACCTATTAAGCCCTCCCCCATCCTAAGGACCAAAGCAGTCACTAGAGATGCCGGGAAAATTCATCAGGTGAGAGCCCCTACTTCTCTCAAGCAAACACTAGATTCATGGCACAAACATATGTAAGAGCATCATATTCATATCTTGGATTTAGAATAAGTTGAGGGGAATTGGGAAGGCCAGTAATCTCAAATCCCAGTAGTGATTAAACTAAGTTTTCAGGATATTTCAGAAAGGTTCAAATCCCTCAGACAAGAATACACGACAGAGGCATGTTCTTCTTGCTGTTTGGTTACTGCAACATCCGGGAATCTACTTTGCCCAGCCAGTGTCCCGAGTGCACACAAGACCTGTGACAAGTGGCTCGATGCACACAGATCAAGCCTTGGAGAGCCCCATTAAGCACCGATAACTCCTCACCTACAATGCATCAGTAACCTAGAAACAAAGCAAGCCGCGTTTACCTGCAGAGCTGGCTTCCCGTTGGCGCTTCTGTTTCTTTTCTGTGCATTCCTCACAGAGGAGCTTGTTGTTGCCCATTAGTAACTCCATGGACGTGAACTGGTACAGACAGGACTGCACTGAGCATTCTTTAGAAGTAGTCACATAGCTCTGAGAAAGAGTCTGAAAAGCAGTTGGGGCACTACGACACTTCATGTGTTTTCCCTCTGAAAAACACAAATTATTGTGGATGTTTAGTGACTGATTTTCCCTGTCAAAATCTCTACTTCCGATGGCGGTGTTGCCCAAATGAAGCCCAGCAATCGCGTCAGCCATTTTCTCATCATCACTATGAGTCTCGGTGGTGTGTGGCAATTCCCTTGCCAGTGAGAGGTGTAGGTGCTGGTCTGTGTGCCCACGGGAGTCACCACTGGCCTGGAACAGCACAGTTTGCTGGGAAGCACTCTCGGATTCAGAAGGCTCGCTGTCGGCATCGGCACTGCTTTCACAAAGTCTGGCTTCTTTGTCGCTGCCGTCGGTGGGGCTTTCATTCACTGACGATTCAGTGCTCAGGACAGTGGCAAACAAGTTCCCTTCACAGTTTTCATTCTTCCGATGCAGAGCCCCAGTCTTCTCTTCCCCAGATGGCTGTTTTCTTATGTGCTTTTTGTCGTGACTTAGTTGATTCTGTAAGTTGACAGCATTTTTCAGAGAAAAGAATCTTGTGACCTTAGTGAAAACAAATGCCACTAAGTCCTATTTAACTGCCCACAGTTATTAAGCAAATATTTCTCTGAGATCCATTATGAGAAGCAACAGATGACAGACTGACTGGCTCTAATTGAAAGCTGTTAACCGAGAGACTAACAACAGTGGCTGCCATGTGTGGGAAAGGGTTAGGGCTTCTGTAGAACAGGGCTATGAAGGAGACGTAAACTTTTCTTATAGACTTAAGACATCTATTCCCATCATTATGCATTTGGTCTGGCAAAGAGCATATAATAAAAGATGAATAATAGCCGGGTGGTGGTGCACACCTTTAATCCCAGCGCTTGGGAGGCAGAGAGAAAGAAGGAACACCAAGTTCCAGAGGCCTCATCTCTAAACAACCAAGCAACCAAAACCCAAAACAAAACACACTCATATTTTACTAGCCAATGCTTTAGGGAAGTGCAAGAAGTTTCTGATCCACACAGTTCCAATCAAAGTGCTTCTATCCTCCATTGTTAGAAAAGGCATGGGTTGAAGTATACGAACCACCACTCAGTATCTTATAAGGCAGACATAAGACAGACTTCAACTGTAATCCTAGGCAGGTGGGAGGCTGAAGCAAGTTTCAGCGCAGCCTGAAGTAAATACTGAATTTCAGGCTAGCCAGAATTATAATGCAAGATTGTCTCAGAAAACAAACAACAACAAGAAAGTAAAACCAACCAACAAACCTGACAGACATATGGACAGATAACTAGTAAAATAAAAATAGAACAAGAGAAAACCACACATTCTAACTTTTGTCGCTTTGCACTTAAAAGACTTCTAACAGAGTAGCTTCAATTTCATATGTTAGTTTGCCTAGTCAATACAAATTACTTCATAAAAAAGGCACTCTCCTCAAATAAAATACAAATTCAGATTGATTTCTTTTTATTTTAATAGGATAGTTAACAATCAGACATGTCTCTAGAAAAACTGTTGACAAGATGCTTGAAAGCTAGTAGTATGGAAAGACATATACCAAAAATGTTATGTCCCTATTTAGCTGGGTTATATACCACCATTCAAAAATCAGCATCCTTCCCTCCCTCTGCTCAGATCTATCTCCTCCATCCTTTTTTGTTTATAGTTTCAGAGACAAATCTCACTACTGTAGTTCAGCCCAGGCCTGAATTACTATGAAGCTCAACTTGGGATCCTTCTGCTTCAGTCTCTTGAGGGCTAGGAATACAGGTGTTTATAACCATACTTGGCTAGGCTTTGTCTTGCTGAAAATTAAACAATCAGAGCTAAAATTTGACCTCTTGCCCTAATTTCAATAGAGAGGAAGTAATGGAGAGAACAGAATCTGTCAGAGCCATGGGAACTCAATAGCAAGGATCACATTTCTTCAGTAGACTGAAAGAAGGGAATTTGTAGATTATAAAGAGATTTTTAAAAGTGTGCTAATCAGCTGTAATCTGTTGATCCTTCCTTTTTTAAAGATCATAAATGCAAATTTTAAAACATGTTTGACATTACTACTGAGTGACAATTCAAGTATACACTGGTATTTTGGTAATATTTATAGAGAGTATCTTTGTTTTTATTTCTTTGTTGTTCTAGATGGCGAACATTTGAACCTTTGGAATGCTCCACCACAGGGCTCTATCCCTAAAATGTAATTTTTAGTGACGTAAGTACATGCTATATCTGGGATTTTCTTCAGAATAATCTGGGCTGGGGAAAGAGGAAGAGATGAACACAGATGGTGAAGACATTATCTGCCATGATCTGGTTGCTGTAAAGCTGATAAACAGGAAGGTGGGTGTCTATTAGACACTGCTGCTTTGACTTGTGAACATGCGTGAGATTTTTCAGAAAGAAAGCATTGAACACCCCTCCCCCAATCTCACTTGCCTTATCTTCAGGTGCAGAATGCTTCTTGGCAGTTCTGGGTTGATGGGTACTTTCTACAGTAGCACTGCTGTTGTCATGATCTCGGTCCGTCTCCTGTAAACTTCTACATTTATTCACTTTCCCCAAAAGTACAGGTTTTGAAACCTATGCCACATGTAACATAAAACATTTTCAGCAAATGAATTCTTTTCAACATTTCTAACTTACTAGAAATGAAAGAAGGTAATTTCTCTTTTTAAAAAGTACTTGTTAAATTATTTCATTAGTATGGGTGTTCTGCTGGCATGTATGTCTGGACACCACTTGCATGCATTACCCATAGAGGCCAGAAGAGGCCAATGTATGCCCTGGACCTGGAACTGGAGTTGAAGAATGTAGTAGTTTGAATGTAATTGGCCCCCATAATCTCACAGGGAATGGCACTATTAGGGAGTGTGGCTTTGTTGGAGGACATGTGTCACCGTGGGGGTATGCTTTGAGGTTTCCTATGCTCAGGATACCACCCAGGGTCTTAGTGGACTTCCTGTTGCCTGCAAGATGTAGAAATCTCAGCTACTCCTCCAGTGCCATGTCTGCCTGCATTCTGCCATGCTCCCTGCATTGATGACAATGGGCAGACTCTCTGAAGCTGTGTGCAAGCCACTTCAAGTCAATGTTTTCTTTATAAGAGTTGCCATGGTCATGATGTCTCTTCAGGGCAATAGAAACCCTAAGACAAGACAGTTGTAATGTTTGGAATTGAACTCAGATCCTCTGGAAAGGCATCCAGTAACTTAACTGCTGAGCCTTCTCCCCAACCTTCTTAAAAGGGTAATTTTCAAAATACAAGTATTGGGATAATCTTTTTGTATACTGTAAAGATGTGCCTCTGTTTTACCTCACCACTTAAGGTGTCCTCTGATTGGTTTAACAAAGAGCTGACTGGCCAATAGCTAGGCAGGAAGAAGATAGGCAGGACTTCAAGGCAGAGATGGGAACTCTAAGAAAGAATCTGAGTCATGAGATTTACAGCCAGATTCAGAGGAAGTCAGACACACAGTGCTGAAGAGAGGTAATGAGCACGTGGCAGAACATAGATTAATATAAATGGGTGAATTCAAGCTTTAAGGCCTAGCTAGGACAAGCCTAAGCTAAGGCCAAGCTTTCATAATTAATAAAATGTCTCCCTGTCATTCTTCAGGAGTTGATTAAAGATTTAATTCCAGTAACAAAATACATACACTTTATGCACATGTACACAATGCTCATAACCAAACACACTATACAAACCCAGCTCTGTGTGGACCATATGACTCTGAGATACAGGCAATAAGCACAACAGATGCTTAAATAAGTGAATGCACACTCTTCACAGAAGTTTCATGATTACTTCTCCTTACCCTTTCTTCTATAATGGGAAGAGAAATATCAACGAAGGGATCCTTCATGGTGGAGATCTTAAACAGAAAAAGCAGATTGAGAACTTCAGTTAGAATTCTAACACAGATACACACTGGTGTTAAAAGCAAAAAAATCAAACTTCCCAGCTGATTTAACATCTCAAATTAAAGCACAATATGAAGTGTTAAGAAAAAGCAGAAAGCCAGGTGGTAGTGGCACACATTTATAATCCCAATGTTTGGGAGGCAGAGACAGATAGATCTCTGTGAGTTTGAGGCCACCCTGGTCTACAGAGCAAGTTCCAGCACAGCCAGGGCTGTTACACAGAGAAATCCTGTCTCAATTAAAAAAAGTAATAATAATAAAATAAAAATAAAAGTAAAAGAAAAAAAGCAGAGATAACAATGTTTGGCTATGTTCCTAGGATAATTCAGTTTCAGAAGATACCTATATAAGACAGGAATCAGAGTCTATGCCCAATGTTCTATAAACCTTAGTAAAAGTTATAATCACGTTCTATGTTTCAATGTCATAGGCAAGAGGAGATATAAAACTAGGGAGGGCAGAAAAACTGAACATTGAGACTCTTCGAAGATTAAGAGTACTCACACCCAGCCTGCCTGATCTTTGACCTCATCGCCAGGCTGATGATTACAGGAGAAATATACTCTACTCAGAACACTTGAGTTGTTGTGATCTTTACCAGGCTGATCGCTAGAGGACATATTTCTGCTTCCTTCAGTAGCGGGTTCATGTGCTGTAAGCTTCAGCAGCTTTGAGCTCCAGCAAGCACTTGAGTCTTTATGAAGGAAAAGCAGTTCACTTACACAAAACTAGTTACTTTAGAGACACCACTAATGTTAAGTGGTTTCATCTGTGTAAGAAACAATGTTGGAAATCTGAAGTGTTACTGTTATTGAAAAGTAACTGTTATTTAAAGTAAGTCTATCAATTTATCAGCTATCTGTCCATGTCCACTGTGATACTTGAGCAATAAAAACACAATGCAACAAGACAGTGTGACTGAGGTGTCTTGTATGAGATGAATTCTAGGTACATACATTTGCACATTCTTCACACATGACTGTGCTAGTTAATTCACCAATAAAGATCCGATCTATGAAGTTCATCTTCACACCTTCCTTTCCATAGGCTGTAAAAAGAATCCACTTTTTTAAATTAAAAAATTCACAAAACAGTCACTGATCCAACAGTTACATGCCATCATTTGTTTATTCAAAAGTCACCTGGATAACGTATAGCTTCTATATTATATCCAATAATGTATTTATTATACAATATTGCATATTACCCCCTTTACAGTTTTATAAAGGAAATATGACTGCTGAGTACCATGAACTGTAAGAATTAACATCATGCAGGTCCCAGGGATTGAACTCATGTCATCAGGGTTGCTAAGTCTTAGCAGTAACTACTAACTCATATCACACCCCTGCTGCTCCCATTAACCTTGATGCCTCTGTCCCTAATGTAATGGTAGACATTATAGGGGAAATAACCGTTTCTGGGGCTAAAGACTCCAGAACCATGGCTATGAAGAAGGGATGTAAAAACAAGTTTGTGAATCACAGCTAAGGAAGCGGTACTGGGAAATTAGTAACTCTTGTGAGCATGTAGCTGAAATTATTTTGCTTATGAAGTACTCAAAGATCAAAGGAAATTGTGCTATTGATTTGCTTTAAAATAACCAGGTACTAGGGGAAACTGACCAAAAAATATGCTATAGATGTAGTTAAGTCAGGTCACACACACACACACACACACAAGGATGTACTGTGATAATCTTTCTTCTCTGGCAGATACTTAAAGTTTTCTCAATAAAACCTGAGATGGAAAGTATATTAACAAAAGGGTTCATCTTGCTTTCAAACTTCTTTCGTTTGCAAGCCTCTACTATCAGAGAAAGTGCTGAAAATTATTAAGAGCAGTATCCAAAGCACTTAATAACTCAAAGACATACTTGAATATCAATAGACATTTTATAGTGACTAAGAAATACTGTGTTTCCCTCCCTGTGGAGTGTGTGGGGGGGGGGAATGGGATGGGAGGGTGGTGGTGGGGGCATGGAAGTGAGGGAGGGAAGGAGGGGGAACTGGGATCGATATGTTAAAAAGAAAGAAAGAAAGAAAGAAAGAAAGAAAGAAAGAAAGAAATACAGCATATCACTAAGAAAAATCAAACAAATGGGAAAAACCAGGGCTGTTGCTGTCAGCATGCTCTAGATGGCAGCACCACAACACAGAGTAACAAGGCACACTGGAGAAACTTATCTTCCAGCTGCCTCACTATGTAGCTCCTGGCTGTCCTGGAACTCACTCTGTAGACCAGGCTGGCCTCAAGCTCACAGAGATCCATCTGCCTCTGCCTCCCGAATGTATGCCACTATATCTGACTGAGAAAGTAAGTCTGAAGCCTACAACTACAATAGAATGTCAGAGCGTTTATTTATAAATTATAGTCATGTACTATAAACAACACACTACAAAAATAAAAGTTAGAAATAAAACACACATCTTACAGTGTCCTCTACAATGATGGCTTCATACTAACATTAGTATTTCAAAGCAGAATACAAACTAAGAGTAGGAATTGGATGTCACAGCATATAAACTTAAACTGCACTATCTATACAAGCTTTGCTTACGTTGACAAAAAACTGGAGCAGGCAAGATTTACTATTATTAGTCTATTAAGTAAACAGCCAATCTGCAATGTCTTTAGAGCATATAGGCATTTTGTCCAGATAAAAGGAGACAGCACAGCTGCCCTCTGAATTGAACTCGATGCCTTCTCCGCAGAAGTGGTGATCCAATGACTGACGCTGTAGCATCAATGTAGGGGAACAACGGGGGTGCAGGGAGGCAGTAGACTCATATGGGGAACTAGACAAAGCAGCAAACTGCTTTCTTTAGACAAGTGTCTCCCAGCCTAAAGCAGAGAAGCCCCTCCTTAAAACAAACAATGGTGAGTGCACACTCATGGCTGCCCCAGGATGCAGAAGATAGAGCCAGTGTGGGCCTGCCCCTAGAGTCACTTACACCACTCTCTCTAAGGCATGGGATACTGAGGAAGAGGGGGCTGTGTCCAGAGGAAAGTGTTCTCCAACACTCTATCCTTTCCCCTGGATTAGATAATCCACCCCCACCCACTCTGCACTGTTCCCTGAGCCTTGTAAGGAAGAAGAAACCTTTTATCTACTGCCCTAGGAAGAACTCAACAGAGTCCACATACCTTTGACTTTTTTCCTAGTTTCATCATCAGCAGTCTTCGTAGTCGGGTTGTTAAATGCTTTTAGAATGCTAGCTTGTATCCTCTGTGAAACAAAGATAAGAGAACCTAGTGGTGGTTAATGAAGACATCATTCTCAATGAAAGGGCTTTCAAACAGCAAGGGACACTATGGTTCCAACCCTGAAAATAAGATATTTGGATCTTAAATAGGTACTGATTGTTCGGATGTGTAGTTTATTCTGTTCTGAAAGGTAGAGGTGTGTGTGCGCGTGCGTGCGTGCATGCGTGCGTGTTTCAGAGTTCCCTAACATATACACATTTAGAAACGTTGAGTGTATTCTATCTTTCAGTTCTAAAATCCCACAAGGAAACAAACCCTCTAAGTGGACATGATAGCGCATCATGATAGTGCATGCCTGTAATCTCAGCATTTGGAGGAAGGGGCAAGATTGTGAGGTTGGACCAGTCTGGACCACAGAGTGAGACCCTACTTCTAAAACAAATTAAAAAGACTCCAAAACATCCCTAATGCCAAATTTTCATAGTAAGAGTCACCTTTGTGTTCAGGTTCCCTTTCAGATATCAACATTCTTACCAATTTTTTTTTAAAGGTTTTATTTATCATGTATATAACATTTTGCTTCCATTTATATCTGCACACCAGAAGAGGGCACCAGATCTCATTACAGACAGCTATGAGCCATCATGTGGTTGCTGGGAATTGAACTCAGGACCTCTGGAAGAGTAGACAGTGCTCTTACCCTTTGAGCGATCTCTCCAGCCCAACATTCTTACCAATTACAAAAGCAAGTAGCCACTTAGTTCAGCTTCTCTTCAGGCTTAAAGAGACAGTCTTCCCCCACCCCCACGTCCTCCCTCTATCTAAACTGGCATTCTTTATCAAGACAAAAATATGAAAAAGGGGAAAAAAGATAGGATCACATAAAGAAGCCTTAATATATAAGAAGCTTTCAGACTTGTCACTGCAGTCTCTCCAGAGAAAGTACACACACCGGGGCCCTAAAATCCAAACTGTCAACTAACATCTACCAAGAATTTCCCCAATCACGAGTATGGTGATCATTACATGTAGTTGACCATAATGATTGTGTCTTCAGTAGGTATGTCTACACCTGTGTGTGTGCATGTATTCATATGTGATGCTGAGCTCTGAACCTGCGGCTCACACATGCAACGTTAAGAGTTCTGCCACTGAGCTGCACACTCATAGTCCTTCTTTTTACGTCTTCTGTCTATATTAGGAAAGTCCCAACCTCCCTCCAAACAAAACAAAACAAAACAAAAACCTTTCAAAATACATTACAACAACAAATACATACTTAAGTCAACAAATTATTAGCCTTCAATTAGTTGGGCCTCTAAGAGGAATTTTGTGAAGTCTGGTAAAGGAAAGCTTGTCATCTTTGAAAAGATCTTACTGTATAAAGCGGTAGGTAACCTGAGAGGTACAACACGGGGGATGGCTCCGTGGGTAAAGTACCTGCCATATAAGCACGAGGGCCAGGAATATGAATCTCCAGAAACCCCGCCTCCTACAGCCAGGGTGGAGGGGTGGAGGGCTATGACCCTGGTATGGGAAAGGTGTAGACAGGAATCCTCTAGCAAGCTAGCTAGCAAGACTAGCTGACAAGGTGACTCCTGGGTTCAGTAAGAGAAACTGTTTCAACATACAGGAGAGGAACTATTAAGGAAAACACCAAGGTCAACTTTGGGTCTCCATGAAGAAACATACATACACTCACACATGAACACACACATATACACTCACCAAAACCCAACTCTACTACCTGAAATCAACCTTTAAAAGTTTATTATTTATTTATATGTGCCTGTGTGTAAGGTATGTATGTATTTGCAGGTAAACAAGGAATCCAGAAGAGAGCATTGGATCCCCTGGGGCTGGAGTTACAGCTCTTTGTGAATAACCCAATATGACAGCTAGGAACTCAACTTTGGCCCTGCAAGAATAGCCAGTGTTATACTTCAGCAGAAAATAAAAATGTTGCATACCAGAATCTAAGATATTTCCCAGTGTTCAAGAGAAATTCCATACCTTAAATATTTAAATAAACTGAAAACAAATGGATTAAGTAGTCAAATGATGAATTTAGAGAAGGGATGCCAAAACCAAATAAAAGTAGAAGGAAAAACCTCAAAAGAAGTGATAGCAGACACTGGGCAGAAACAATACGTAAACCCAAAACTAATTCTTTAGGTATAGGATAAATAAAGTACTAGCTAATTTTAATATAATAAAGGGAAGCTTGATATCATGCTTAAATAAAATAAGCCAATAAGAGAGTAAAAGAAAATTTAAGTAAACCCAAGAGAAAACTTTCTAACATAATGGCATTTGAAAACAGGTAAAATATAGTAGATAATTTTCAAGAAATTATAATTTTGAAATTAATTATGGAGTAACTGAAAATCACCTACCATGTCAGGAAGGGGAAAGGAGGGAAGGAAGGAAGAAGGAAAGTAAAGGAAGAATAAAATCCCAATAATTCCACAGATTACTACAAAACATGTTTTACAGCATAGAATTTTTTTAAAGGTTCCAAATTACTTTTATGAAGTACAATGAAGGTCTAAAAAAATGACTCAAGAGAACTGAGGAAGTAACTCACTTGGTAGACTGCCTGCCTGACAAACACAAAACGCTCTACATTCAAGCTATAGTACTGGAGGCAGGAATAAAGGCCACCTGGCTAAAGGCCACTGTGACTCCCAGGCCTCAGTCAGTCAGCATGGCTGTATTGCTCTTAAGCTCCCATCTATAGATCTATACTAAACTCATAATGCACACACACACACACACACACACACACACACACACAGACACACACACACAGACACACCCAGACACCCACACACACAAGACACCCACCCACACACACCCATACACACACACACCATATACACAGACACCCCCCCCACACACACAGACACCCATACACCCACACACCCAGACAACCACACATACACAGACACTCATATACACACAGACACACAAAAAACACCCACCCCACACACACATACACACAGACACCAAATACACACAGACACACACACAGAGACACCCATACACACAAATACCCACACACAGACACACATATACACAAACACACATACACAGAGACACACACACACAAACTCATACACACAGACACACAGAAGACACCTCCCACCGCCACACACAGACACCCATATACACACAGAAACATAGACACCCATACAGAGACATACACACAGAGAGACACACACAGACACAAAGACACACACAGACACAAAGACACACACCAACACAAAGACAGACACATGCACACACACACACCCCACCTAAACTTACTCACATAAAAAGAAAAATAAAGCCAGGGACAGAGCTTAAACACACGTAATAGGGTGCAGCTAGCTGAGACATTCTGCCTTTAACGTAATCTAACTCAATAGTGGATTAAAATGACATATCTTTAAAATAGTAAGTTAATCTTACTGAAAGCTCAAATTAGAAGGGAAAAAAGACAAAGAAAGCATGATTCTGAAGGTGGAAAGGCTGTTCATAGAAGAACTACTTACAGTAAATGTTATTGTATATTCTGTACATAAACAAACATGCATGATCTGACCACATGCCCCCTTTAGCGCTGTATCCCATTTAGCAGTAGTATGTTCCTCAACCTTACTGTCACAAGAAAACCCTTTAAGGGAACAATACAAAAGGTCGGTAGTTTTAAGTCATCTGGTGGCAGACACAACAGTGTGGCCATCAGGAAAGCGGTGACACAGATGCGCCATGGCACACCAATGGCACACTCAGCATCTGCTCCTTCCCAGGCAAGACAGTGCAGCTCCCGTCTGTGTGCTCACTGTCACTGGCCAGCACGGTTGTTCCACTTGTGAGGCTAAATACATCCACAGACACATTTTAATTCTGTCAAACTATCTATGGCCTTCAATTAGCAGGCCAAGAGCAACGTATACTACCTGAGGCTTTATGATACTGTAAACAGAGAAGAACAATGCATAGAAAAATTTTTCATTAATTTGCAATGATGTATGACTATCACGTAATAAACATAATTCTGCAGGGAAAAAAAACTATAAATCTATAAGAAAATGTGATCAAATTTTAGCTCAGGGGAATGTTCATGACTCCAAAACTTAATTGAAAATTTTTTAATTTATCTTTAAAAAGAAAAACAAAAGCAAAATAGGTGTAACATGATATAGTAGTTACCCTTCAAATTACTCAAATGACAACATATTCAAAATAGCTACAAATCCCCAGAAAACCAGAAGAAATAACCTATAATACCAGTGTCTTTGCTTTTGGATCAAGTTTTCATTAGGAGCTGTAATAAACTTGTTCAACAGGAGTCACAGGACTCTATCTGGGTATAACGGATGGAGAGAGAAAATGGGCTAAGCTCCTGGAATTCAGTTGAAGAGAGGGAGAAGGGATTATATGAACAAGGGGAGGGAGGGGGGTCAAGAGCATTTGGGTATACCATTAATATGTGACTTTAGTGACAACATTTCTAACATGTACTTTTAGGGAATACATCAGAAGCACAGCAATGTAGGATGTGTGCTGTGTATCTGACATCTTTAATATTTTGTACCCTCTCTGATAAATTACATATTATTTACTTAAGATTCCCCCAAAAGTTAAATCTCACTGATGTTACATAAGGCCAATAAACAACCAATACACTAAAGCATAGGGCTGGAACAGCGCTACCCGAGGAGCCTGCTTTAGCAGCTCTTCTTTTTGGAGACTGTTTCCTGATTCACACAGCTGAAGTCTACTCCCCTAGCCATGAGTGGAACCTAACCTAGTATGGGACAAGGAAGGTTTATTCTGAGAATTCAAAATCACAACAGCTGGCTTAGGTTTTACATATGTGAAACTGAATTACAATGAGCACTGCGCTGGCTTCCAGCATGAGAAGCAAACATTGCTCAACTTCTGACAGAAGTGAAAAAAACTCTAAGAGCCACAGAAACTAGAGGAGAGGAGAGTAAGGGGACAAGGGGGTGGCTTTCCAGATCATTGTTCATCTCCCTATATGTATATGCCTTGGCGTCAATATTTAAGACAACCTCTCTACCCTGCTTTTCTTTCTTCCCTGCTTTTCTTTCTTTCCTTCTTTTCTCCCTCCCTCTCTCCTTCCCTCCCTCTCTCCCTCCCTCTCTCCTTCTCTCCCTCCCTCCCTCCTTCCCCCCTTCCTTCCTAGCTTTCTGAGACAGGGTCTCACTATGTGAAACAGGCTGGCCTCAAACTCAAGAGCTCTGCTTGCCTTTGCCTCTCTTGTGCTGGGATTAAAAGCATGCAGCTCATGCCTGGCTCTTTTTCTTGAGAGGGCTTTCACTATAAACTCCTGGGTCCACCAATCCTCCTGCCTCAGCTTCTTCAGTAGCTGGGACAGTAGATATCTACCACAGTGAGTTTTGTCTGTAAGCTACTTTGGAGTTGAAGAGTTGTTGAAGGACATTAAGAAAAGGGGAAAATGGGGCTATAAATTTTATATATATATATATATATATATATATATATATATATATATATATACACACAATCTTACTGAAGAAAGGCAAAAGTATAGATAAAAATTACTTGGCACCATACTTTAAAATTACAGAAGTATTGCAGATTATTATCCTTGCCTTAAAGAGAACACATGACACACATTAAGAAATCTGACCTTCGTTTCCTCTGTCCTCACTGCATCCAACAAATGGTGCAAAAGCTCCTGACTGTCCTGTTGCTGGAACCCTTTAAACCGAGGAGCCCTAGGATGTCAAAACAAAAGCAACAAAGAGGAATAATCATTCCACAGATGACCAGTGACACACCAGTCTCACTTAAGATCACTTTGAAATAAATTAAGGATCAGTTTACCTCTTTCCAATTAAAAAGACAAAATGCTCTTCCTGTTGCAATGCAAATGAGCCCACTGGGCAGGTACTTACCTTCTATTAGACATGTCACACACAGTATTGATAGTTTTCACACTTTAACTCCCTGTTCCCAAACAATCCCACTGAGATGTGCTTTCTTCTCAAGCTGTAAATGAGGGACCTGTTGTGGAATAATCTTTTTGTACATTGTGAAGATGTGTCTTTCTAATTGGTTTAATAAAGGGCTGAGTGGCCAATGGCTGGGCAGGTTTCCGGGCAATGCTGTAAAGAAGGAAGGGGTAACCAGCCAGATGAAGGGCAAGCAGCCTGGCAGTACAGAGTAAAGGTAATAAAGCCAAAAGTCAAAAGTTAGGCTGATTTAAAAAAAAAAAAAAGGTTAATTTAAATATTAAGAGCTACTCAATAACAAGCCTAAGCAATTGGCAAAGCTTTTATAGTTAATGTCTCCGTGTCATTATTGAGGAGCTGGCAGTCCCATCCAAAGAGTCTGACTACAGGCACCAGAAGAGACATTAAAATAATATGCAATGTCATACAGCCAGAAAGAGAAACAACAATCAAATCCAAGCCTCTGTAATTTATCTTTTTACCTTAAAGAATAAAAAAGATTAAGGTACATTCTGTATCTTAATACGAATCTTCATTTGCTCTTAATCTTAGAAGAAATACAGACACACATTTACAGAATGTTATCTCAATATAACTGCACATTGATAAATATGTGCATATATTCCTTATAAGAATTTAGTAATTAATTCCTGTGTGCCTGAATGAGATAGTTAAGTGCTACGCACAGGGACAGCAATAGCAAATATTAGTTTAAAAGTTGGTAACTCTTAAAGTCTGTAAAGGAGCAGTTCTGGGAGTATCACAATACTTGATTTCAATTAAATTTACAGAGCCACAGTAACAAAACCAAAATGACAGTGGCATGGAAACAATCATGGGACCAACGGAAAGAACAGACAATACGGATGCAAACACACACTTCAACAAAGGTGGCAAAGGCCTACACTGGAGAACAGACAGCCACTCCAGTATATGGTGCGGAGGCAACTTTGTGTCCATGTGGAGAAGAATAAAACTAGATGCCATCCTTCACTCTCAACACAAGATGCATAAAGGCCTTTAACATAACACCTGAAATGAAAAACCACTAAAAGAAAACAGGGGAAACACTTCTAGATATAGGCATGGACAAGGACGTTCTGAAACAGCCTCTGACAGCTTAGGAAACAGCAAAAAAAAACTTCAAAGTCTAACAAATTCCAATGTCTTAAATGAAAGCTACGCCTAGAAGGCAGACTAATCTAAGGCGAATTCTATGAAGAGAACACAGAACAGTATTTAACACAGTACAAAACACACTTACAATAATCTCACTATATATATACACATATATACATATATGCAAATATATGCATACACATGCACAGATATAAAATCTCATTGACATAAACAGCACTGTGAAGGACTTTGTAAAAATGAACGACATTTTTCTACTTGAGAAGACTGAAGAGGAACAAACTAAATGCCACCAAATACCAATCCAGCTATTATGACCCAGAATCTAGTACTTTAAATAGTATTCTTCATTATCTCATAATTAGCATTCACCATACAGTGCACTGATGTGCCTGTCACAAGGCTAAGTGAATAGCAGTGAAGTTAACGTAGAAGAGGAAATACCATTTCAGTCACATAGCTGCAAACAGCATCATCATGTTAGAGAATGGTTGTGGGATCAGGTTAGAGAAACTCAGGCTAGAAACAAACCCCAATGCTACTTGAGCCTCCACAGCTGGCATCAACAAGAGGTAGAAATTCCAAAATAGACTTATGCAGTCAATATCAAGCAATTGCTAGTGAAATCAACTACGACAGATGCAGAAATTCTTCTGGAATCTTCCTCAGCCAGGTGGTCTTCAAGCAGGATGGAGATCACTTCTGAACAAAGAATGTGCCTTCCTCCATCTCCATCTCACCCATGTACAAACTGTTTATTGCCTTCTAAATATTCACTGGAAAAAAATTAAACTAGGGTTTTTGTTTTGTTTTTTTATTGAGAACTTAGCTTATAAAATTTTTGAAGGAGTCTATCTGAGGCATCAATATTAAGAGACCTTCAAACTTACTTTTAAAAAAGTTAACAGATAACGAATGTTGTATGACGACATTCAGCCTATTGAATAAAAAGAACACTTATAGGAAATGTGAGTTAGTATATTATTTTCTTCATTATGACAATATATGTGACAGACACACCTGGAGCTTTATTTGATCTCAGAGTTCCAGAGGGTGCATATTTCTTGATGGTGGGGAGGAAATGGCAACCAGAGCACCTGGCTCAGGGCAGTAGGAGTGTGTCATGCAGAGTATTCACATCTTGGTGAACAAGGCAGCAGAGAGGATACCGGGCCAGACACAGGGCCAGGCTACAATCCTCTTGGCCTAACTAACGTCCACCAAGTCAGCCCTCTACGCCCAAAGGTCCACAACTCCCAAAGCAGCGTGAGCAGCTGGGGATCAGGTGTTTAGACACATGAGCCTCTGAAGGGCAATTCAGATTCAAACTGTGTAACTTCACAAGCGTGGTGCTGCCGTGAAGCAGGCAGTGCTGGAAGGAGGGTGCAGTGATTAAAAACAATGCTGTTCTCACAGAGCGCAGATTTAAGTTCTCAAGACTCACATCAGATGGCCCACAGTCACCAGTCACTCCAACCCCTGAGGCACTGAGGTCAGTGCCGCCCTGACCTCAGGAGGCACTAGCACACATGTAGTGCACATAAATACACACACACACACACACACACACGCACGCACGCGCACACACACACCTTAAAATATTTTTTTAAAAGAAAGAAGACATGGGCTGGGGAGGTAGCTTAGCAGTTAAGAGCTCTGGCTGCTCGTCTAGATGACCCAGTTCAATTCCCAACTCTGAGCTGGATTTCTAGAATGCACATAGAGGAAGAAGCAGAGAACTAACTTCACAAAGCTGTCTGTTCTCTGAGCACACATGCATAAACACACACACAATAACAATAATAGTAGTAATAGCAGTAATAGGGAGGAAATAAAACACAAGTTCCAAGATAATTCCACAGGTCACAAACATAAAATAGGCAAAGCAAACCACAGCCATGTTGGACCTGAAGAACTCAACCTTGAGAGGCTAAAGAAACCAGAATGAAGCTGTTTAAGGATGGGGAATAGTTCCTTAAACCTTAAGAAAGCCCCTGGACAATGTTCCCAAAGGCCTAAAGCCTGGCCTTCACACCACACACCCAAATTACGGCCACAAAGTACATGACACATTAGGAAACTTGACCTCCAAGGCCAGCAAGAAGGTTTATGTGAGAGAAGGTTAAGATTTAAAGTTGATAGGCAGAGAGAGGAGAACTATGAGGAAGGAAGTGTAGGAGTGGCACGTGAGGCAATGAGGGGAGGGAGACCTAGGAACACAAACCAGGGAAGATGAATACGCAAAGAACTAAATCTAGCAAGCCTATGAATTGAGAAATTAAAACATATGAAGACAGCTACAGAAAAGATAGCAAGAGTGTGAATTAACTTCACTTCAAATACATTTGATAGGACTGCCCAAAACGTTCCTACTAATGTTCTGAGACTGTTCAATAAATGCTCAGTATCAAGAGCACTTGCTCCTCTTGCAAAGTTTGGCTCTCAGCACCCACATCCCAAGGCTCACCAGCATTTCAACTGTCCTCTTCTGACCTCCAAGGGCACCAGGCACACATGTGGTGCACATAAATGCATGCATGCAAACACTCATACACACATAATAAACAAAATCTTTTTAAAAAATTACTAAATTACTAACAGGCTATGCTCACGAGGTATATAAAACATAAGTCAATTTTGTGTTTGCACGTGAACCCTTTCAAGAGGGCAATATAAGAAAATGATCCAAAATATGAACAAACCTGAAGTCTAAAACATTTCTGCTCTAAGAATGTCAGGTGAGATGTATTAAACCTGTAGTAGCAAATCCTGAAGAACAGGGTAGACAGGAATCTGAATTTTTATCTAAGAGAACTCAACTATTTTAACATAGTTTTGGATTTTAAAAGTCTTAACAAAAGAAGGAAACATAAAAACTAATGAATTTATTTTGGCAGAATTAAAGCAATTTCTAAAGCATACTCTGCCCTAAAACTATTTAACTTTATGAGGCAGTCAGATCTCACAGTCTTTTCTGGTTTTCGGGCATTAATGAAGTGCTAAGTGCCAAATAAATGAAACATGGCAAACCCTCTATATTTGGGGCTAGTTTAAGTTTAAACAAAATTTTGAAGTCTGTAGATACTATAAAATGCAAGTCCCTACTTAAAGAACTTTCCTCCTTCATACCTTAGTAACTGATTGAACTAGCTTATGAGATCCATGAGAACATGATCAGTTTTAATGTCACATACATAATCACTCTCAATGTTTCAGAAAGAGACAGTAAATATTTTATCAATGTGGGGTAAGAGCCTCATGTCATGAGGAATTGTGTCAGGCTGCATTTGGCAATAGCACCTTTAATCCCAGTACTAGAGAGACAGGGGCAGATGAATCTACAGAATAGTCTACAGTGTGGTCTAGAGAATGAGTTCTACGACAGCCAGAGAGAGCTACATAGTGAGAACCTGTCTCAAACCAACCAACCAACCAACCAAGCCTGACTAGTCAGTTCCACTTACAGAGACAATATGCCCAGGTAGCACGCACGCATGAACGCACGCGCGCACACACACACACCCCTCTCTAAACGCACACAACCTTCATACCAAGGAAAGCCTGAGGCCCTCGCTGTTCCAGTCAGTTGAGAATGAGTTTGCTTCTCTGCCTCATTTTTTCTTACA